CCTACGTTCTGTCTCATCTAGGTATTTGATGCTACCAACACCACCAGGGAGAGGAGGGCAGTCATCCTTAGTTATGCAAAGGAGAGAGGCTACAAAGTGAGTATGCATGTGGAAGTTGGACATTTTGGCAAATATGCCAATAGGCTTTCATGCCGAGAGATAGATGAGAATATTAGTATTCATTATCATACGGGTCTCTTCAATTTGAAGCAATTAGCTTAGCTTAGCATAAAGCCTGGAAGCAGGGGGAAACAGCTAGCCTGGCTCTATCCAAAGGTAAAAAAAACTGTAAAACTATTGGTTTTAGGATGAGATTAAAAACACAAACACAAGCTCACAAGGTGGGAAAAGGGTATATATTTCACAGTCATATAATAAATCTGAACTTTTAAATGACTCCTTGTGTGCAGGTGTTCTTTGTGGAGTCAATCTGTGATGACCCAAAAATCATTGCAGAGAATATTAAGGTCAGTCGAGGATGTTTTTTTTTTTTTTTTAATGTAAATGTTTGCGGAGGCTGAATTGATATAGTGGTCTCAACAAATTTCTAAAGCTGTCTTTCTTTTCCAGCAAGTAAAGTTTGGGAGTCCAGATTACGTGGATCGTGACATAGATGAGGCCTTGGAAGACTTCAGCCAGCGCATTGAGTGTTACAGGGCCAGCTACATGCCCATACACGACGAGAAAGACAGGTACAGTCCCATAAGGTTTTCCTTCCTGTGAGATTAATAAGAAACTAAATGGTGCACAGGATAGTCTCTCCCCCTTCATTTCCAACAGATTCATTTCATAGTTGCCTTTTATCCAATACTGACTTTGAACAGGAAGCTCTCCTATATCAAGATCTTCGACGTGGGCAGTAGATACCTGGTAAACCATGTCCAGGACCACATTCAAAGCAGGATAGTCTACTACCTGATGAACATCCATGTCACACCAAGATGCATCTACCTGAGCCGCCACGGAGAGAGCGAACTCAACTTGTTAGGGCGCATTGGTGGAGATTCAGGCCTCTCCCCGAGAGGACAGAAGGTGAGTAGGTTACACTATATATATATATATATATATATAGATATAGATATATAGATATATTCTATCATTAGATTATTATTACTCAGGCATTAATGTAAAAGCAGGATTTCACTGTTGTAGTTGGTTGAGGCAGAGCTCATTTTGAACTATTAATTTGGTGATTGTTTTCTCCATTCATCGATTCATCTTTTGGTTTGTAAAAATTCTGAAAGACCCAGACCCAAACCCAGAATGACACCTCCAAACATCAAAATGATTCAATATACATAAAAAGCAAATCAAAGGAAAAAACGTAAATCATCCCATTTGTAAAAGCTGGAACGATGAACTGTTTTGGCATGAAAAATTACAATTATGAAAATAGTCTTTGATTAATCAAGCTTTAATTAATTCAGCTTTACTTGTACATACTGGTGGGTAGTTTTATTTATGATAAAGCATCATACTTTATTAGCGCTTCATATGTTTTTTTGTACAAAAATATTAATTTGTGAATATACTAGTAACCAAAGCTATTAAATAGATGTAGTGAAGTAAAAATAACAATATTTTCCTTTGAGATATAGTAGAGCCGAAAATCTGAACTGGCATGCAAAGAAAAGTACTTGAGTAAATGTACTTAGTTACATTCCACCACTGTAGTATACAGATCGAATTCGTGGAGTACAAATTGCACTAATTGTTTGCAGTATGCCAATGCCTTGGCGACCTTCATCAGAAGTCAGAATATCAGCCAATTGAAGGTGTGGACGAGCCACATGAAGAGGACCATCCAGACTGCAGAAGCTCTGGGAGTCCAGTACGAACAGTGGAAGGCCCTCAATGAGATAGACGCTGTGAGTTACATCTCTTCATCCTACAACATAATCCTCCAAACGAAAGACACATTCAAGGCCAATTTTATATTTATAGGTGATGCTTTCAAACGTTATCAGACAAAGAGCATTCAATCTCCAAATAATTTAGGTTGACTTTAGATTTTCAAAACCAGAAGATCAGCTGTTTTTCATTCGGTTATGTTCAAGTTACTTTTTCTAACTAAGGGTGTATGTGAGGAGCTAACCTACGAAGAGATTCAGGAGAATTTCCCCGACGAGTTTGCACTGAGAGACCAGGACAAGTATCGTTATCGTTACCCAAAGGGCGAGGTAAGTGCTCTCCTGAATACACTGTGAATTTTGTTTTTAAAATTATATTCAACCATTGAAGTATCGCTGGGAGTTTTTCAGGAACACACACGTTCACACCTGAGCTGCCCAGTTCAACTACAGTCCACTAGAGCAGTTTTGGCAGTTAGGGTCAGGAACAGCGCAACATTTTTCTGAGGGTTAGATGAGAAGATTGATACCACTAGGATGTTTGTCTGTGAACTATAAAGCTTCCACCAGCAGACGGTTGACTAAGCTTAGCATAAAGACTGGAAGCGAGGGTGAACAGCTCGCCCGGCTGTGTTCAAACTCCAGAGATAACAAAGTTGTATTTTTATGAGGGGTTATGTGCAGGACTATGACATGACTGGCAAGCTCACAGTGATGACAACCCTCCAGGAAGTCACTGCATTTGTCAGCGTATTAAACAAACAAGCTGTGGTGGAAGACGTCCTCGGGTCTTTTACCGAAGTAAAAGCAGCAATACCGCATATGTTACAAGTAAAAGTTCTGCATTCAAAATTTGACTCAATTAAAAGTACATAATTATTAGAATCAAAATATTCTTAAAGTACCAAAAGTAAAAGTACTCATCATGCAGAATGACCCATTTAAGAAAAATATATATTATATTATTGGGTTATAATTATTTATGTGCTGTATACTTAAATGTTGCAGCTGGTAAAGGTGGAGATAATTTCAACTAATGTATATATTGCTGAGAGGCTAGATTTATAATAGTACAATATCATTTGTTTGCTGATTGTATTTAGTATTATTCCTTTGGATCTGTGAAGTAACCATTAATTAAATCAAGTATAATCAGGTCTATTGTATTGCAGTAACAAGTACAATTTTTGTAGTATACAAGTAGTTACAAGTATAAAGAAGCATAAAATTTAAAAAACTCAACTAAAGTTACAGTACCTCAAAATGGTACTTAAATACTGTACTTGAGTAAATATACAAATATATACATTTACTTTCCATCACTGCAAATGAGATATAACGTGTTGATTAATGAAGAAGTGCTGGAAGGTGGGCTTTGTTGTGTTACTTTTGGATAGAACCAGGCTAGCTGTTTCCCCCTGTTTCAAGTCTTTGTGCTAAGCTAAGCTAACCGTTATTTGGCTGTAGCTTCATAGACAAGACAAAACAAGTATGCCTTGCTCAAAGGGCACTTCCCACACCTATATGTATCCTGTTACACAGTAATTATAAGAGAACAGTGTACAGTGTACTTGCACTTAAGGATTTATGGACTGAGAGGATAAAATAAGAATAAGTTTGGTTAAATTATTAATAAACTCCTCAATTATTTTGTCTCTTGTCCAGTCCTATGAGGACCTTGTACATCGTCTAGAGCCGGTGATCATGGAGCTGGAGAGGCAGGAAAACGTTCTGGTTGTCTGTCACCAAGCCGTATTTCGCTGCCTGTTGGCCTACTTTGTAGACAAACCTGCAGGTACAGAAATCCAGGCTTACAAATACCTTGACACGATAGTATATGATGTTGTTTTCAACACAAACACTCTTAATACTCTTCTTTTCCCCCTCTGAAGATGAGCTACCTTATCTGAGATGCCCCCTTCACACAGTGCTCAAACTCACACCAGTAGCTTACGGTAGGTAGTAAACGTTTTAGTGTGTGACAGCTCCGTATCTCTGGAAATCTCTCCCTGACAGTCTGACTTTCTCCTCTACTTCAGGCTGTAAAGTTGAGTCATGTTTCCTCAATATTGAAGCAGTCAACACACACAGAGAGAGGCCAGTGGTGAGTTTCCACAAGCACACATTTGTCATAATAGATACTTAGCTTTGCCAACTATTCTATGGTACATTACATACATCTGATGGCAGACAGTAATATGTACAGTAGGTACTGATGAAATTAATATATGCAAAAGTATTTACTGTATTTTGCATGGTGTCCTTTTTTGTCACTTTTCCAGTGTGAACCCTTCATATACTAACAACCTGCTCAGAATTAGTATGTAGCAATGGTTATTATGGAAGTGGTGTTGCTGTCGTTGCAGAATGTGGACGTCAACAGAAACCAAGAGGAGGCTCTGCTGACTGTTCCTGACCACGCATAAATGCAGTTCTGTGAGGAAAGGACTACAATCACGTGAAACGAAACGTGTTGCCACATATTAGTTTCACTAAATATTAGAGATGCACTCCAGTGAAAGGTTGATTGTGTGAAAACAGACGACTCTAAAGGCAGGAGGAGTCTAGATGGTACAAATGGAACTATGTTAGCTACATGGAAACAAATCGGTACAGAAGCACATGGACTCCTGCTGCACTGACTGAGCAGGACATAGCTGGAGATAATGTTTAAAACATGACTGTGACATGTTCCTGTGTCTTATCTGACTAGAGTTTGCTTTTTTGTATATTGTCACATTGTTTACAAATAGAGACAATAATAATGCACCTTGTTTTAAAGCTGAGAGGAAAACACTTAAAGGGTTGTAGTGAGGTTGTCATTGCACAGATAATGTGTTGTTGATAATTGAATTATGAAGGTGAGGATCAGCACCATGGACAGCACCCAAACAAACAAGACATGTTGATTTGGGCACTTGACTGTTGTGGATATGATACCAAACTTCAGGCAGTGTTTAATGAAATATTGTAAATAAATAAAGTAAGCAGCCAAGATGTTGCTGGGAAAATAAATCCACTTTACAAGTCCTGTTTGTGTTTGCTTGGCAGCTCTGTTGTGTTGTTAGCTCTCCCACGAAGAAGCTAAACTTAAATGTAACAAACTGATTCCACAACAGACCAATGTACTGTTCCATTCAGACAATAATGGGTCGTTGTGAAAGAGCTCTGAAGCGAGATGAAAACTCGCATTTGGGAGTAATTTATGGAATGAAACTCAGACTGGAACATTTAGGAACACTCCTACAGGGAGGAGGACGGGAGGTGTTTTGGTAGCGGGGTATTTTCCCAAAATAGCCGAGCAAGGGTTAATAACCCCTCGTTTTCTCGTGCCCCTCGGTGGCAGCAGTCCGCGAAATTTCCAGCATGAATGCAAGCTGGGGGCTGCTCTCTTCAAACCGAGCGGGACTCACGCAACTTTCTGACTTCGCCATCTTTTCTTTTTTTTTTTCTCAACATCTGACGGATGTTTAACGATTATCAGAACACGTTTTATTCTCACTGCAGTTGAGCCGTTTAAATTAAGGCGAGGTGAGGGAGGGGAAAGACTGCCCCTTGCACTAAATAACTTGTGTAAAATGTGAGGTATGTGCACAGCGTCCTACTGCACGAGCCACCTCAGTCCCGCTGGACAACGTGAGACCACTTCACCTTGGAGTCTACAACCTGAATTACTATGGACATGATGAATTTAAAGATTCAGTGCATTCTAGTGTTCTTCACTTTCTACGTGCAAGAGGGATTATCAAAGGATTATGAAGCAAACCTTGGAGCAGATTATCTCTTACAGGTATATTTTCCTTTTATTTGACCTTTTCGGTTTTGTGTCAAAAGTTGCAATGCTGCAATTTGTGCCACTTTTTGAAAACACCACCCTCTGTTAAACCAGGCTGAATGAAGGCAGGAGAATAGTTTAACAATAATAAAACATAACTTGTAAACAATAATAGCTGAACTTTAACCACTCCTGAATCAAAAATATGTGCTTGGTTGGTCTGCAGAATTCTGTTCGAGATTTAAAAGTCCATTCGAGCTTTAGAAGCTCTAATACAACCAGTACAGTGTCTCACCTAGACTGAACATATGAAATAGCCCTATTTTTGATATCAATTAACTTAATTTATATGAATACTTATAAATGTTTTCCACTCTTAAACTTGTTTATGTTAAACTCCCAGCAATGACCAGCCTATGTGGTAATGTATTGACACAGCAATGACTTGTGTGCAAAATTAACATTTGAGAGCAAACCGTGCAGACCTCACTGGCCCTGTATACAGTGAAAGCATTTGTTTCCAGTTCCACTTCCCTCCATTCATGAATGACTTTGATTCAGACTATTTTGACACAAAATCTTGACCCAACCCTCAGGTAGGCAGATTGTGGAGATTACTCCAAAAAGGAGGCATTTTCAACAAACAAATAAATGATATTACGCATCTTAACCATGTGCCATTGGGTTTAATTAAACGCACATTTTACAAAATGCACATGTTTAACTTGCTTGTTTCTTTCCCAGAGAGTAAGACGTCAAAGCAAACCAACAAAAGCAGTGGTAAGTTTTTGCTGCTGCTGTCATACATTGTGTCACATAAGTACGATTGGATCTCCTCCTGCTTCAAAATATGAGATTCTCTCTTTCTTCACTCCCGTTAAACATGTATTATATCTATGAATGCAAGACAAAGGAATATTATTGAAGGTCTTTTACACACATTTCTATTAATATATTAGACTTTTCTCTAATATCAGATTTTTTGTGAAATATTCAAGATCCAATGAAACGTTTAGAGAAGAAAAGTCAAGAACTACTAGAGACATATCAATTGGGCCAAGCTATATTAAACATCTTAAACAAATTGTATTTTACAAACTGTTTATGTTGTTTGTTAAATTATGTTTTGAATTGTGTCAAATAATAGTAGTGCAGTAAAAAGTTTCCCTCTGAAATGTAGTGGAGTGGACGTATAAAGTATCATAAAATGGGCTCGTATACGTCAAATTTGTACGGTACTTGAGTAAAAGTACTTCATTTTTTCCACCACTGATACAAAGTGACTCTCAGAACAAGCTTCACAACCATCAGCACCTCTCAGGGGATCATCAGTAGCTCCACTATGTTTTTCCTCAGTTTGCATCAAGGTTAACTGTGAAGCAATCCCCTGCAAGCATACAGTAATTTAGTTTGTATAGCACAGACCACAGCCTTCCTAAATACCAGTGAGCTGCAGGGCTGATGTGGCTCTCTTTCTCCTGCCTGTCTCCTCGTCATGCAGTAATGTGGCCAGCACTGACCAGATTGGTCTCAGCAGGCGCCGGCGTTACCCGAGTAAACAAGAGGAGGACAGAGACACCATGCTTTGTGTTGCAGGGCCAACCGTGACATGGGGGGGGGGGTTCTGAGATCATGAAAAGTTGACTTTTTAAGAGTTAGATGCTTCTCACAGGACAGCGATGCTACAGAATATGAAGCATTGCTGTAAATTACCCAACAGTAAAATGTGTTAAAATTAGCACAGCCATAAACATCTGCAGCAGTAAAATGCAACATAATGTAGCAGAACTATTAATCCAAAAATATCATGATAAACAACACTGACAGGAAATGTTTTTCCTCACAATGACTACTTTTACTTTTGATTGGTACATTTTGCTGATACATACTTTTACTAAATTAAGGTTTTGAATACATGACGCTTACTTGTGAAGTTTTTGCACAGTGTGATATTAGTACTTCATTTTCTTAAGTAAAGAATCTAGTGAATACTTCCTCCACTGCTATCAGCTCCACTTGCATAGACAGGGGATCACAATAATGTGTCTTGCCCCTCCTTGTCAAACAGTGCTGTACTCCTATGTGATATGTAATGAAATGAGATGTATGCATCTATTTGTGATGTCACTAGCTGAAGGTGACTGACTACCATTTGAGGTGTTCAGTGGTGTCCCGCTATGCTATTACCACAGTCCAGAGTTCAGTATGGAACCAGCTCCCCATCACCAAGGAGGCTGCCTTTGAGGTGGACCTTCCCTCCTCTGCTTTCATCTCCAACTTCACCATGTGAGTCATCGTCTTTCTCTTCTACAGTGTACAGCGTTTCTACATCACGACTTCCTGTATTTGTTTATTAGTGTATTTGAGTGTCTGTCTTTCAATTTTCTTTACATCTGATCTCTAACATCACTAGGAAAGTCAGGAAATGCTACCAATCATTGTTTCACTTCCTGTGTTTTGAATGGTAATTCCTCACAACAAATGGGGTCACCTAAGTCAAAAGTATTGACAGGAAATATTGTTTCTTGCCTGTATAAATAATACGAACCTGCAATATGGTGAGAGTTTTAAATAAATAAAGGTAACATACTCATTAATGGGCAGCATCCAGAAATAAAACTTCAGAAGAATTATGTCAGGAACTAGAAATCCGGTCCAGAGGAGAGATGCACGATTTGATTACTAAGAGTGTTTGCTGAGCACTCTCCTTCAAAAATGCTAAATATAAACAAAACAAATAAGTCAACACTGCAGGCCAAACACCAAACCTGGAGCTGGATTTGGGAGCGGAAACAGGTCAGGAGGAGGGGGGACCTGAGGGCAGATGAATACCAGGCTTTGTAAATGCAAGTCAGAAAGCTAATAGAGAAAATGACAGGAGTTTGCCCAGTCCCTCTTTTCTCCCCTGCACAGTTTACTGAGGCAGCCTGCCAGTTTAGATACGCTACACAAACACATGCCTACATCGACTGTATGTATGCGTGCCTACACGGAGGTGGACGTGGACTTCTATTTTTTAAGTATGTGTGAGTTTGGCGCTAGTGCAGGTCTTTTTTTTTTTTTTTTACAACCATGATTCTTCACTTCTGTCTTTCATTCACACGCACACTAACACATACACCTTTTCACCGTCGGAACCTTTACAGTCGTCTGCACATCACCAAATACCCCAGAAGGGGGAAAAAAAGCTGTGGCAAATATGTTGCGTAAGTTCTTTGGCATTTCTGTGTCAAACTAAGAACTCTGTGTTCTGTGTGTAGGTCACTGATGTACACACGTTCCTTCACCCCCTCTCGGCCAGCCACAAATACAAGCGCCTCCATTTTCCACTCTTGCCATTCTGCTCTGTTACTCAAACAAGACCCTCTTCAAGCCAGTGGGTTTATTTTAGTTAGCCCTTAGATGTTTTTTTTTCTCATTGGATATATTTGTTCAAAGGACTTGACCTTAATTTAGCACCTTGTCACGTGACATCAGTGGTCACCGAAGTCTAGGACGTGCCCTGTGTGAATTGGATCCCACTTTGGAGCGGTGGTTTTGGTTGGGGATTTTGGCGGGTGTAGCCGACAGCGGCACTCCCTCGGAGCATCATCTGCCTGCAAGATCTCTCTTCATTAATGTTGTTTTAAAAGGGAAATTACTCTTTTCCACTCGCCCTGTTTATGACCCCACTTCCCCTTTACATGCTATGAACTCCATTTGTAAACACGCATGATGCATGCTTATGAAGCAGCTTTGTGATCGCTCTGGAAATACAAGCAGCAAAATAAAGTAAATCACGCTCAGCAACTCAACGCAGGCCAGGCGTATTTCTGACTGAAATATAATCTGGCTACTGTGACTCACACAGAAAGCTGTTTCTTCTTCCTCTTTCCTTTTTCCCATCAGCACCTCCAATGGAAAGGTGTATGTGGCCCAAGTGAAGGAAAGAGCCGCTGCCAGGAAAATTTACGATGTCGCTAAGAAGCAAGGGAAAACAGCTGGACTTGTTGCTACAAAGTCAGTCCCAGATGTTTTTCTTTTTTCTTTAATTTCCACAAAAATAAAATTTCTGAATGTAAATCAGTTTCTTTTGCAATGTCATCCTACGTTTGTAAGAGGAGACTGACATCCAATCCAATATTGTGAGATTTGCTTCCCTCTTACTCTGCTGCGTTCCAGAGAGAGGGAGATTGAAAAGTTTCGTGTGGCGGTAAGCGTGCCGTCAGGAGCTCGGATGTCCTTCTCCCTGTCCTACGAAGAGCTGTTGCCTCGTCGACTCGGCCGCTATGAGCTTAGTTTGGGTTTGAGGCCAGGACAGACTGTGCAGAACCTCACGTTAGACGTCAGTATAACGGAGCGGACAGGCATCAGTTTCATCAAAGCCTTTCCTCTCAAGACGAGCCGGCTGCTCTCCAACACTGCTCAAGGTAAAATATGACAGAACCTTCAATGCTACTGCACTGTTTTGAAGTACAGGTACACCACCTTCTACCTACCATCAGGTGTTTAGAGCAGTAACTGTAAATGCTTTCAGGAATCTCAAGAGGCTTCCTCCTTGATTCCCTGACTATAGAATGAATAACAATTCTTTGATTGACATTAGTGTTTCAAGGAATAGTTTATATGTCATAATATTTTGGGAAATAAGCTAATTCACTTTTTCCAGGAGTGTTGGATTAGAAGATTGATGGCATTCTCAGTTTTGCAGTAAATATAATTTGTAAGCTTAGTTTAGCATAAACAATAGAAACATGGAAACAGCTAGCCCGGCTCTCTCTTTCCCAAAATGTCTAACTATTCCTTTAATTGAAATGTTGTAATTATTTTTTACCATTTGTTATTACTACTACATGGATGCTACTTTCCTACAGGTGATGCAGACGCCCCTGCCTCCACTCATGTTGAGCATAGCGCTGGCTGTGCTCGGGTTCGCTACAGTCCCACTCTACAGCAGCAGAACAGCATCTCCTCCAAAGGTCTTAATGCAGACTTCATCATCCAGTATGATGTGGACCTCAGAGACCTCATGGGTGAAGTCCAGGTCAGGAGCATCTGTTCATGCCTGGCGTGTTTGAGTGTTTGTCACAATACAGGAATGAGTTATTGGTACCAGTAAAGGTTGTCTTCCCCCCCATTTATTCTTATATTTTCTCCAGGTGTATGATGGCTACTTTGTGCATTACTTTGCACCCAGAGGGCTTCCTGTGGTTCCTAAGGATGTTATATTTGTCATTGATGTCAGTGGCTCAATGATAGGCACCAAGATAAAACAGGTAAAGTGGACAAACCTCATGGACTCCATTATGGTTCTACAATGAGAAAACTCAGTAAAATATAACAATATTCTGCAAAGATAATTTAGAATTTCTGTCAATAATTCTAATCATTTGTGTCAGTAGACCAAGCAGGCCATGGGCACCATTCTCGGGGACCTTAGAGAGGGAGACCACTTCAATATCATCACCTTCTCAGACAAGGTTCACACCTGGAAGAAAGGACGAACAGTCCGGGCGACTCGGCAGAATGTACGAGATGCCAAAGACTTTGTGAAGATGATTATTGCAGAGGGATGTGAGTTGAAATGTGATACTGTTGTGGCATTGTAGTCAAGGTGATCATCGTATCAAACTTTCTTATTGTTTGTTTGTTATTTTCCTTCAAAACTGATTGATCCACTCTTCTGTATCAGGGACCAATATCAATGCAGCGCTGCTGTCAGCTGCCCAGCTCGTCAACCCTCCATCCTCCGGCTCTTCCAACCACCTCTCATCCCATCGAGTCCCTCTGGTAATTTTCCTTACTGATGGGGAGGCAACCATCGGAGTAACAGCTGGTGACACCATCCTTAGCAACGCCAAGAAAGCTTTGGGCTCCTCCTCTCTGTTTGGCATTGCCTTTGGAGACGATGCAGACTTCCTCCTCCTGAAACGCCTGGCTCTGGATAACCGTGGTGTGGCGAGGATGGTGTATGAGGATGCAGATGCAGCCTTGCAGCTGAAGGGCTTCTTTGATGAAGTAGCTAGCCCTTTGCTATCAGACATCCAGCTGTCGTACCTGGACGATCAGGCGTTTGACATCACCCGCGCCATGTTCCCGAATTACTTCCAAGGCTCGGAGTTGGTGGTGGCAGGGAGGGTCAAACCAGGGCTCAAGGACTTAAAGGTGTCAATGTCCGCCACTGATTTAAAGCAGCGTGTCAAGTTGGAGAACGATGTGTTGATTTCCCATGCTAAGGGGAACGGAAGTACAGAATCACTAGACTGTTTGGGAGGTTTAGAAGGAACATCCAGTTTTGTGCGCCGTCTCTGGGCGTATTTCACCATCAAAGAGCTGTTACTGGCCAAACTGAATGCTACTGACCCTGCAACTCAAAGGTTACTGGCAGACAAGGCCACCAACCTATCCCTCAAGTATAACTTTGTAACACCAGTCACTTCTTTAGTTGTAGTTAAGCCAGACGCAGATGAAGCAGCTCAAACTCCAACCACCACACGACCCACCACCGCAGCCACTATAACCACCACAGCAACGACTACTGCCGCCACCAAAATATCAGCTGCTGGTGCTGTAAAGAAGCCTAGTGCACCTTCTATCCCCAGGCCTGAAAAAAACAAACCAGTCCCTCCGCAGCCACCTCAAAAGCAAACAAAAAAAATCTCATCACCAACTTCCACAGCAAAAACAGCAACATCCAAGAAAACCACAACAACTTCAAGTCCCAGCTCTGTCAAAACTGCCCCAGCTCCATTCTCGGGTAAAAAGCCCACTCCTTCACACAATGAATCCAAAATGGCTTCTCCTCCTCCTCCTCCTCCTTTTCCTGTCGGTAAGATACCCACCTCTCTGCTGAATGCTCTAAAAACCGCGCCACCCCCTGCACCTGGAAAAGTCTACACCCCGCAGCCCAAAGCCTTGAAAAGAACCACGCCCTCCACAACAACCACAATGTCAACATTCACCACCAGCACCACACCTGAGCTCAGCTCGGTCAGAACCGACCCTGCACCTCTGCACGGGAAACCCCTTACCCCTCAGCCCAGTACAGTGAGGACACCCCTGCCTCCTGTCAAAGCGACTGTGCCCTCCACAGAGGCAGAAAACACCCCCACATCTGCTCCAGATGTTCCTAAAATCACCACCGCTGTGCCTAAGCTGTTGTCTCCGCTCACCTCTCCCACCCCGGCACCTGCTCCAGCTGTGGATGACAACAACACAGACTTGAGCATCGCAACCTTCGTGTCGGCCACCTTTGCTCCTATGCCTGGTGTGACAGATGGGCCACGCCTGTGGGAAGCAGCAGGGCTTCTGGGTAGGTTACGCTCTGTTTCGTCTGTTGAGTCTAATCTGCCATTATCAGTCAAGTTTCAAGCTGAATTTCAAGGATGCAGACTTTTGTATATTTATTCCTAATTGAATGTTATTTATCTCTCTACTAGATGTCTCTACTTTCATTCAAAGAAAAGGTGAAAGTGAATTTTCTCTTTATATTTCAGTGACATTGACCACTTTTTGTTCTGAATTTTTTATTACATTTTATCTGGTAAAAATGAAATAAATGTAATAAGATACTCTTACAGCTGTTGGATTATGATATACAATAATAATCAGCACATGACAGCATCGGAACTGAATATAAATCAATCTCATATTCTATCTCTTATAGATATCGACCTTGTGAAAGGTGAGTATAACATGTAATGCTTATACCGTTGTCCGCTGTAAAATCTAAATTACCTCATGAGCAGCAGAACGTGTCCTGAACTTAGGTTCTCATTGCTTGCCTCCGTTTCCCAGACTATGATGCAACCTATGACTATGACTACGATCTCAACTATGATACTTGTAAGTTTCAAATTCTTATTAGAAGTGATTCTGTGCTTTTCGGGCCTTAAAAATACATTTCTGACTTAATTCTAGGGGATGATACTGCAGACTCTGGATCATTTGGTAAGTATTCAGTGGGTGTTGTTAACAGATGTATGTCTTAAATAATACGTAATTTCTTATAGAGACACGCATGCTTGCAATATCTGTGTAGTCCTGTCATTGATTTCAGTGTTTGGGAGTGAGGAGGACTGTCCTTTAGTTGAATGTCTTGTGCTTTTAGATAGTGCTCCCTCCAGATTGAGCACCATCCGGGTCTTCTCCTCATCAGGTCAAGAACTTAACATTTCATGTTTTCAATTACAATGTCAAATGAATTAGAATATTTCACGTACCTGTGTCATATTAATGCTCAAATGTCGTCTGTTGTAGTTGATGGAGATCCTCATTTTGTGGTCCAGCTGCCAAAGCTGCATCAGAACCTGTGTTTCACAGTAGACGGCAGAGCTAATGACGTTCTCAGACTGATAGAGGAACCAGAGAGAGGTATGCTTACAAATAATATCTCTCATTTCAGTTCGGTGAAATAAATATACATGTTTTAAAATCAACTAATATGTGTTACTAGTGTATTGCTAAATGTGTGCTCCCTTCCTCCTTAAGGCATCATTGTTGACGGCCACCTAATGGGAGCTCCGTCCAAACACGGTGTAGAAGACCGCACCCGAACTTACTTCGACCGGCTCACCATTTCCTCAGCCACAGGCAACTCTGGCGACATCATGATCACCCTCTCATTGGACGCTGTAGTGGTGGAAGGGGAAGGGCGGGATCATCTTCCCATCAATCAGCAAGGGTCCGTGGCGAGGCAGGGTGTGACGGTCACTGTGGACAACCATCGGAGCTGCTGGATCGAGCTGAACAAGGGTGTGCGGTTCCTGGTTATGGCCCATCACTATGAACACCCCAGCTACCTGCAGATGGCTCATCTGGGTTTCTACATCACAGATAGACGGGGTTTATCTGCTTCAACCCAAGGCCTGCTGGGTATGTACACATCTATTCTTCACTGTCAGCTTTCACTGAATCTTTGTATGCTGCTCACTGTCCTTCATTCCGACTTAAGTGGACTACAGAACTGTTATCATCCTAATGTACTTTAAGTTTAAAAAGTAAAGTAAAAGTGAAGTAAGTACTCATCCTGCAGAAAAATGTCCCGTGACTGATTATATGTGACATTATTTGATTGTTATATTGACGCATCAATAGCAGCAAATTGCTGTTGTAGCTGGATGAGGTGTAGCTGATTTTAATTTCTTTATATACAGTTAAGTAGTAGTAGTAGCAAGTAGTAGTAAGTAGTATAATGGCTCCCAACCTAGGGGTCAGGCCCTAGATTTAATGTGACCGGACATGAGATACAGCAGGAAAAAGGTAAAGTAAAGCTATAAAAATGTGTACTGATTTTAGAGGAGAAATGTCACATTGGTGGAACTGTTTGCAACTTATAAACATTTGAAATGTGACAAGGTTGGAAACCACTGGTTTACTCTTAAACAAGGTGTTTTTTTTGTTTTTTGTAATCTAATTTGAGGTTTTATATGTAAAATAAAAAAATAAACTGTCAGATAAATGTAAATAATACAATATTTCCTTCTAAAATGTTGCGGAGCACAAATAGAAAGTAGCATGAAATTGAAATACTGAAGTACAAGTACCTTCGTTTTAGTAGAGTAAATGTACTTAGTTACTCTCCACCTCTGCTGTCCTTTGTCTGCCTACAGGCCAGTTTCAGCACGCTGACATGAGTGTGACAGCGGTGAAAGATTATCTGGGTGGAGGTGCGCACAATGAAGCGATTTCAGCCACGGGGATCCTGAGGTGGGGACCAGAGAAAATGCGGGTCACCTTGCAGGACAAGACGCTGAAAGACACGGTGCGGAAACACCACATGGGCAAGTGCTGGGTGGTGCCCAAGGCAGAGGTAGAGAGACTACTGGGTCATCCATACGAGAGCTACGTGGTGGATCATGTGTAATTCTAGCTGGGTCTGCTCCGCCTTGTTGCCTCTCTGCTGCACAGCTCAGGTCACAGCAGTTGTCACGGCTTGGTTATTGGACAAAGGAAGAGCAAGAATTGGGACTCTGTGAGGCTAAAATGACACGTCGCCACACATTGTCTAATATTCTGTAAGGACCAGTGGAACACAGGTGTGCTTACAAAAAGAGGGGGTGACATTTTATAAGCGTAATGAGGAAGTGTGGTTCGACAAATATAATGGACTGAACGATGCTGTTGTCTTCCATCAGTGAATTTGATTTGGACTCCAGCTCTGTGTTCTGTATCTATGACAGAGACGCCGTGTTGTCCTGTTCACATGGCAACCACAAGATGTCCATTTGTGCTGCAGCAGTTTGTGCTCGCTCCAAAATGTCTCGCACACTAACTCTGTTCACGACTTCAAAGATGTTTATTCGATTATTCTTATATTTCATCTTTGAATGATTATTAAGCAAAAGCCTTGTAATTATAAAAACTGTATTATTCTGTAAGTTGAGTTTTTATAGTACAAGTGTATATAAAATATTATGTATGTGTAGATACTCTTCCCACAAAACTCACCTGGATATTGTGATTGCATCTTAAAGAGGATACACAAAACAAAATCTTTCCAGGTTTGCCATGTGCTTTTTATTTTTCTATCATTTCATTCATAGTTTAATTCATTTTATTTGTTACACAAGACATTAGGCATTGCTCACAAACTAGTGATCAAACAAGGACAGTAAGTTTTCTACTACTCAGCCTGAACTATTTCTTTTGTCAATTTCAAGGAATATTGTCAATAGTGGTTTCCAAAAATGCCAAACTGGATGGAAATTAAAACGGTACACCACACATGAGGCTTTTGTTTTCAATAAATAAAAAGAGATGACAGAATCTGATGCTGAGGAAGGGCAGGAGAGGGAGGGCTTCAGATATGTCTATGTTCAAAAAAAGTAAACAGTATTCCAGTTTTTATCAGATAACATGTTTCCAGGATGAAGACCACAGACAGTGCTGAATGATGCACATCGTGAACACACAGCTGGATAGATTTTGACTGACTGTTGCTTTTTATCCTTCCTTCAAAACCGGTTTCTTAGGAATGCTAATAATCATAATAAATCATGATGCAACACTGGAATGATCACTGAATAAGGTGAACGTCACACATGACACAGCAAATAACAAACAAAAACAAAGAATTTTCTGTGTGCATCACTTTAAAATCCTTTTTTTATCATCAGAACATGATCTAATAGCATAGCATATTCAGCATTTGACATAAACCTTTCCACAATACGTCAGTGAAATTTAAATAAATAGAGCATAACAATAAGACACGTCAACACCCCAAACACGGGATAACTTTTGTTTGGAGTTGCTCAGGGATTTGTCGTGGTGGAATGGAAGTGAGATGGAACCGCTTCAGTGTTTTAAAGAAAACGGTCAGGCGTCTCATCTGTTTGTTGTTGATGTGTAACAAGCCACAGATCAATCTGGCTGAAAGTGAACGTGCACTGCAGAGATATGAGGACTGCCTCCACTCAGGTGTACAATAACAGCCCTGATAGAAAACAATGTCCCTTCTATAGTATTTAGTCAGATCTGCGAAGCAACAGACAACAACAAACTACTTTTAACATTGCCAGAAACTTTTGCCAATGAGAGCAACACCATTTTTTGGCACTAGACGGACCTGCCACTAACGATAGTTGAAACAAAGCAGGCAACTTTTGAAAGGGCCCAAAAATTTAAATAAGACCCCAAATTAAGGCTAAAACCAAATAAAAGCATCTTGGTTCGTTCTTGTGGGGCAGCACCTACAACTGTGGCTTCATACCTTTGCTACAAAGTCTTTGAAAGTTATGGGAATATCCAGCTTTTCCCTCTATTTATAACTACAATTTTCCATAGGATTTAGTCCCCCAGGGAATGACTTACCTAAATGACATACACAAGGGTTGAAACAACCAAGACACAATCTGGTGCTTTTCACTATGAGCCGAAATTTCAGTCTTCATCCTCTTCACTCAAAAGTGAAACTTTCCAAAATCCAAAACATTTCCCACATACATTCTTTTCTCAAGAACAAACTTCTTGCATTTCAATTTCAAGTACAATTTGACGTAATCAATCTGTTTTTCATCGCTGATTCCAAATCCTCCAGAGTACTTCATAGAAAGCCTCGCCTAACACCAGAAGAATCCTCTCCATGCCTCTTTTGCTTCAGACGTTCCCTTTTCTCCCAACTTGAAGACCACAGTTTCAACCTCAGATCTGTAAACTTCATAAATTCAGCCAGTGAAATGGGCACCAAATATATAGAAATAAAACTCTTCAATAATTTAAAAATGTTAGAAAGTAAACTATTCAAATTTAAAATTAACATCACACAACAGAGATAAACAAAGGAACAGTTTTTTGGGGAGGTGGGGTGGGTGACAGTTAATAGCCACTGGTTAGCTTGCCTGCTAGCACAGGGAACACAACAGCATTGCAAAGTGAGCACTATCAGTTGACAGAACAGCCCATTTATATGTAATTTTTCATCACATTTTTTTTCACGCCTGACCAACAGATTTTGCCAAAAGGAGCGGCGTCTTTTGACGAAAAAAAAAAACAGGTAAACGACCAAGTAAGAGGAAAGTGAAAGCAGGGTTGACAGGAGCGATGTGTGGAATGGTCCAGCCTTTATACCGCAGTGTCATTTTGAGTCTATGTACAATACTACTGTGTGTAAAAGATGCATGCATGTCAACTGGAGGTGACCCTTCCAGAGGATTCTACACTAAACCATTACAGATCTCTTGTGTCAGAGCTCGCAGTTCAGACCTCTCAATCCCATCAATCTTCCATCCACCCAACCTCGGATAAGAGGAGAAAGACGTTACAGAAAGAATGAAATGCCTTGAAAATCGCCAACAACAAGTAATAAATTCACCTCTAATGATAATAGTTAAGACATGATTATACTGTAAATTCTACAATGGAATGAAAGACCGTATCAACCCTGCTTTTCAGTGACAGAGATAAGGATTGTGAGTATTGGTATGTGTGTGTGTGTGTGTGTGTGTGTGTGCGTGCGTGCGTGTGTGTGTGTGTGTTTGTGAGCATTTATGTGTTTGAACGTGTTTCAAGAGAGAGAGGGACATAAGGAAAAGGAGGCAAATGGCTGAGGGCCGGCAGAGCTCAGGAACACACCCTATCCGCCACGCTCCCACCCATTTGTTTTTACAGGCCTGGCTCACTACCACAAGCACTGCCGCCTCTTTCGCCTCTTTTCGCCCCGCCTCCTCCTCCGGCCCCGCCCTCTCTTTGAAGCCCCTCTACCGCTCACTGCTCATCCTCCCCAAACACATCGTTCTGTTTGCGCTTCATGTTCTCAAAGTCAAAGTCGCTGCCGGTCATACGTTTGTAGATGTCCTTGATGTCGTTGCAAGTGGTCTCGAAGTGAGTGGTGGCATCATAGGAACTTGAGGCGAAGACCTGGGAAAGATAAAATGACAGGACTGAGAATCTACAGCCTTGCTAGCGGCTCTGTGATTTGAGCTAAATGCTAACATCAGCATGCTAACGCGCTCACAGTGACAATGCTAACCTGCTGACGTTTAGCAGGTAGTGTTTACAAAGTCCACCATCTTACTTTAGCCTGTTAGCATGCTAACTCTGTGTCATGAATGTCAATCCTTTAGAATATATCCTATTTTTGTTTTTGCTAAGGAGAATAGCGTAGCTAGCTAGCGATGTGACCTCAGCGTCTGAGCGGCCGTTCTAACTCCATATGAGTTTGATTTAAGTCAAATATTAAAGACACATGCAAGTATTTGACCTTATATAACGACACACAGGGCAATGTGCTATTATTTAAAAGAAACAGTTTTGAACAATCAAGGTTTCCACTTAACAGCGATGATATAATTCTGTTTTTCTCAGGAAACGTTTTTCCTCTTACCTGGCTATCAGTACCATCATCTGTGGGCTCATAAAGGTCACTAATAGCCACAAACCTGTCAAAAACAAAAACAAACTCCATTAACAAGTATTATCACAGGGCTACTTCCATATTTTTATATCACATTGTCGTCATGTTTAGTTTTGTAGCCTGCTTGTTTGTTAAACCATGAATGCATGAATTTTTTAAATGCTGACTTTTGGTCGATGGGCTCCAGCAGCTCCAGGGCCGGCTCTATCTCAGCCTCGGGCTCGCTGGTTTCCACTGTGGTGCTGATGATGGCAATGTACTTCCCCTGGGCTGCCACGTTGTGAGCATAGGAGATCATGCACACGTAGATGTCTGGAGAATTGACAGAAGGGTTCAGAGGAGAAGAAAATCTAAAAGCAACAATAACTGATTTTCTATTTGGCCACTTGGAGGCAGTGGATATCACTTCAAAGTTGATATTGGAAACTTGTTAGCAAACAGTTGCTTGTTTACGCTCCCAGCAGACATTGAGAAACATTAACGTTTCTTTCTAATCATGCTTTTGGCCACTTTCAATAGTCATACTCTCCTTTTAGCTCTGTCTAGTTCTTTAGTTCAACTATGTTCCTCATCTAGTCACTAACTTGCGTCATGTGGTGCTGCTGCAGCGGATTTTTAGAGCTTTTTTCCTGAAAACAGTCAGCTGCATCTGGAAACAAGCTGATGAGAGCCGTGAAAGTGCTCCAGGACAGAAACGTTGTGGAGCAGAAAATTAAAATAATGAACTGAAAGAAGATAAAACACTCCGTAGAGCTCAGGAGAAGTCTGGAGTCGGACATATTTGTTATTATGAGTGCCCCCTTTCACATACAAGTAGTCAAATGATCCACTGTTGATATAAGAACATTGATTATAGCTGCTTTAAGAGTACTAGTATGTTAAAAAGCTAATGTGGGAATAAAAGTGGCATGTTTCACTTTTTGAAATATGAATGCTTTATTTGTTGTCATAAGAGTGCTCCTTGATATCTCCGGAGCATCAAATCAATTACATTTAACACAAAGGGTATCTTTGTAATTGGTCTTACTGCTACAATTTCTAAAAACTAAACTCTCTACCATTCAGTTGATTAGTTAAAAAATGACAATGAACCTTACCCGATTTGCGGTTAACCTGATTCTGAGGGATGATGATCTGGCAGGAGTTGGAGTCATTAGTGTTTTTGATGGGGTGGCTGAGGACGCAGATCACACGGATCACCTGACCCGCCTTCCGGACGCGGTCTGGGATGTAGCTGGGGTCGCAGATGAGCTGCTTACAACGAGCCACCTGCAGCAGGAATGATACGGCAATTTGCATTGAAGCATTTCAAAGGACTAACTTTTGCGTCCCCTCTGCTTGAATGAAAAATAATGACTGATTGTAAATCTGCATTATCATGGACAATAAATCAGCGTACCTCGCCCTCAGACTTCACTCCAACCACATGGCCATCTTCCATCACTATCTCATCCACTGGTTTGTTCAGCATGTAGGTCCCTCCATAGATTGCACTCAATCTGAAATGACGAAGTGGGTTAGTATGTTTTTATTTACTATTAAAGACAAGCTGTATTCTATAATAAAGCACTATAGATAGAAAATATATTAACAATAACCTGGCAAATCCCTGGGGCAGCTCTCCCAGACCATACAGGGGGTAGAGGTAAGGGCTCTTCCCATACCGTGCCAGCGACTCACTATACAGCTTGATACGATTGATCGTCTCCAAACAGGGAACATCAAGATAGCTGAAGGAGAAGAATAGTCAACAAAGGAAGATAATTAATAGGAATAAACAGAAATGAGAAAATGAGATACCTCTAATTCTATGCAAATTCCCAGCCAAAAAGTGCATACAGTTTTATTAAACCGTCTTTTCAGCATCTTTAGTTATTTTCATTATTTCATGTTAATATTATAAATGCAGTTTATGCTTGACATCATGCTGTTGTTCTTACTCATCTGTCCTGTAGAGGGCCAGGGCGTGGCCAGTGAAGTCAATGACATCCTGGCCGAGGTCAAACTTCTTGTAAACATCCCTCATCGTTGTGGTTTTGGGGTCCACACCCTCAAAGGTCTTGGGGTCGTTCTCGTCGAAGTTGGCCACAAAGACTAAGAACTTCCGAAACCTTCGCTTCTCAAACATTCCCATCAGATCTGAAAATACAATCAAAGGCTTATTGATGTAGTACATGATCACTTAAAACGCGATTTGTATACTCTACTCTTGATATCTTAGACATAGACATATTTGAGCAGCTTACTTGAAGCTAGGGCCTCGGTCTCGGTCGACGGCACCTTGTAGATCTTTCCGCCTTTGTAGACAAAGCTTCCCTCCACTACCTTAAAGTCCAGGTACCGTGTCACTTCTGTGTATAGCAGCATCTTCACAAGTTGACCTGCAATCACACAGACAAACGCATGTTACATCTTATTATTTGTCATCAAACATTCTGCCTTAATTGCATCAAGACCTAGACTGCCACTAGTCTGATTAGTTAATTCCCTATTCCTGGGCCTTATCAGTAACACCAATTATGTACTAAGTGTCCATCTTTCTCCGCAGTATATGATAATGAGTGAGTTTCATGGTAATATATTAATTTATTGATCAACAAAATCAGTGATGCGGGACTGACCGTTGGCCATGAGAAACTTGGGGATGAGGTCAACGTTCCAGTCCCTTCCTCTGCCCATTGACTCGGGCGGACTATCTGGAAGACTGAAGCGCTTGTACAGCTGTGGAAGACGACAGTAAAGAGAAACATAAGCAATATCCTGCGAGGATTAAATCTATGATGCTGACAGAAGACAAAGCATTTCGGAGGATAAGGCGGTGAGCAAATGAAGACAATAAAACCAGCAGCTGATGCACAATGGCACGGGATGTAAACTGAGATGTACTGAGGGATATAAAATATATTGATTGCTTTTATAGATCCCAGGGGCCCTTTACCTCCTCCAGAGGGGTGATGGAGGAGCTCTCGCCACCATAGTAGGGGTTCCTGTCCATGTGTAGAACCTTTTTCCCGTTCACAGACATGATCCCGGACAGAATGCATTCCTGCATGAAACAAGATTCAAAAGTCAATGACATCAATTTGAAAATGAAACAAACAAGGCTTAGGACAGGGGTCTCCCTAAGATGTAATAAAGGACATGAACGACAGTTAAGAGGTTTTGACAGAAGGGTGCAGGGAGGACCGAAGGAACGGTGTGCGCATGCGCGACACGATCGGTTCATCCATGTATCTACTGTAATAGTAATAATAATAACAGTAATATGTGTAATAATGTCTATTCTTAGAACAGTATGCGCATGGCATTAGCACATCATAAAATATAAATCAATGTGGCATTCACAAAAGGACATTTGATACATGTTAAAAGAAAATGTCGACTTTTATGCACGCGACAACCGGGATTATTATCTCTTAAAATGTATCGGGCATATTTCTGCCGCATCGGGTGTGCGAGAGCAGCAGCAGTGAAGGGCTCAGTCATTTAATGAACCCGTGCTCAGGCCTGCGCCAACCTCAGGATGGAGGCCTGTCTATGCAAAGAGGACCATGACACACTGTGGGGTTACGCCTAAAAGATGATCCTGGCTGTAACACAACACTGAGCCGGCTGTTAGAGCAATAAAAAATGTTTTAAATCCTGGACGTATTGTTTGCTTTCTGTCATGCACACGCATGTCGAAGTAGATTTAGAAACATTGTTTCTTAAAACAATCTTCTAATGTCACAAGCACAGAGGGATGCAGGAGGCTTTCGCTTCTGGGCTCGGATAGATGAGAGGATCCATGCCTTAAATAATCCTAAGGAAGCTCGCGCAATCAATCTGTTTTGTTTCCGTGCAAAAAAGCAAATGAAGCCTGACTACTTACTGTGAGCCCGGTGCCCAAAACGATCACATCATATTCCTCATCCATGTTGTATCACCGCCTTTCCCGTCTCGCCCTCTTTTTGCCTTGAGAATTGAAGGGAATTGAAGGAAAGAATTACCAGTGACTTCACGCAAACCGGGGATTTCAGCTCCCTTTTCTCTGCCCGCGTGCTTTAAACGACTCGTTCAGAGTTAAGTATTATTTAAGAATCATAAGGCATTAATGACCAATGGAATAAACTGTCCACACTGTCACCGGCGAGGACGACCAAAGATGGCCCTGATGGTGGAGCGCTCTAGTACAATGTTACTGCGCGACGGAAAATAGTGCTCATTCTCCTCCTCTCTTCCCATCATGCCACACAATGGACTCAAACGGAACAGCTGACTGTAATAGGAAACCCCACTTAGAGCTGGCGTTATGAAGCGATTAAATATATGTTTAGTTTCGTTTCATACTTTGGCTTAGAGTCCAACGTGTTTTTGCAATTTTAAATATATTTTGTCCCAGTCTGTGCGTTCTCTATGTTCTTTTCTATCCTTCCTTTACAGTTGTAGGCGCAGTGGTATCCCTCCGCCACCACAGCTGTGTTGGGAGTTGCTTTCAACTGACAGACCTCACGCAGGCCTGTTTCAATAGAAAGAACATCATTTCAAAACTTTTCTCGCTTGTTTTTTAGTTTTTTCTACTGTTCTACAGTTAATGCACCATTTGTGGATGATGGGACATGATGCCACGAGGGGGGAAGAGGAGAAGAGGAGAGCTAAAATGTAAGGGTGTATCAGCACCATGGACAGTTGTCAGGTTAATCTACAGCAATGCATCACATTCTATAAAATCATCAAATGTTTGTAGCGTCCCTGTCGCGTGATAACCATGTTTCTCTGAATAGAGAATGTTTTCAGCTTTGTGAAGATTCATTTTCCAGCTGATACAATAGGGGTTTTAAATAGTCTATTTTGCTTAAGTACTGGGAGGATTTTTTTAAACAACAATTCACCCTTCAGCACGCACAAAAAAAAAATCTAACTGTGAATCACCAAATTTTAGATACATTCACTTGACAGGAATTGTATGAAAAAATGTAATCTGAGAAAGTAACTAAATCTGTCAGACAAATAGTAGTGCAGTAAAAAAGTACAATATTTGCCTCTGAGATGAAGTGGATTAGAAGTAAGTGACATAAAAGGAAATACTCAAGTAAAGTTGAATACCTCAAATTTGGAATTAAGTTTGGTGCTTGAGTAAATGTAGCCTACTTAGTTGCAGTTGTATCCCTATTTTTTCCAAAATCTTTCATTCATATTAATTCATCAATTAAAACAGCCTATTTTGTTATGTCTTGAAGGATGTTAAACAATATGTAAAACTATTTGGCTGTACATGGTCTGTATGTTTTATATATTTTTGTTGTCTAATGTGATATACCCCTGGCTCTTTTGTTACTGTTCTATTTATTTACTATGTATACTGAATCTGTATTACATTATTTTGTTTAAAGAATAAAAAATAAATAACTAAATGGAGCTAATGTTAGATGGCTTGTGTCCAGACTGAAAGTAATTAAACTACTCTGGGTTTATAATGCGACCGGAACAAGGTGGGGAAAAGCTGCGTCCTGTCGTGGTGTTGAGGAGGGCAGCTGTGGGCGGGGCCGAGTGAAAGAAGCAGGAAGTCCCTCACATGACTGTCAGCTGGTTTGCGTCACGTGACCAGAGCTTTGCGGAAAAACGAAAAATGGAAGGATCGAGGTGCTCCAGTCGAGCGAGATTAATGGCATTTCTTGCCATTTTCGTCACCCTTTTCTCCACAGGGAGCTCTGTTGCTCAAGTGCCACTCCTAATGTGGTCCAGCGACGGGTAATATTTCATTTTGTATTGTTTATGTGTGAAGTAAGAGAGACTTTAGGAGTCAACCGACTGTTTGTCATGCTAATGTGCTAACACCTGTTGCTAGTGTTTCTACTTGTATCCAGATAACGCAAACGCTAGCTGTTCGACCTGAGCTAGCTAAAATGCACAGGTTTAAGTCTAACAACTAAATATGCGTGTGTTGACTCATAGTTTTCGGTTAATTTTGTAACGTTATTCGTCTCTTATGTCAAACACAATGTTTGATACATTGTTAGTAATCTTCGGTTCACCTGTAAACTAAAGTTACTAAAACACATTTCGTAGCTAGCACAGTTCCCTAATACACGGAGCAGAGAGGCGTTAGACAGGAACAACAGGCCGCTCATACAGACGGGGAATATAGTACAGTGTACTGTATTGACTCTACTGTATAGTACA